TGTAAATAGTGGTATGGGTTTTCCTTCTGGCTGAACTCTGAGCTCCTTCAGAGAAGTTGCTTTTGCGTCTTTGTGTGATCCCACTCGGGAAAGGTTTGCTGAATGATTCGGATAAAAGGTACTGTCCTTCCTCCTTCTGAGGAAGGCACTTACCTCCTCCTTGGGGAAGGGGAGAAGGGGTGATTTTTGCCTGAGGTCACACTCAGGTCTTCAAGGATTAGCTTCTGGGCGGTGACCATTTTGCTTTGTTCCCATTAATTTCTCCTGTCATCTCCTGGAGTATAGTTGCTTTCACTCTTCATCATCTTTGGGAATGACTAGCGTCTTGTATTTCTCTGAAAATGCTTAACCCCCTCCCCGCCTCCATCAGATGCTCTCCTTCAGCTCCCACATTTTAGTGGGCTGCAGTTTGCAGATCTGTCCTCTTCTTCCGGATGAACCTGTTCCTCCAAACTCCACTTTACAGAAGAGAAGAAAAGGGAAAGCCCGTTGAGAGGCAGGTTGGGAAATCGCCAGGGTAGTAAATGGATGATTTTTTTGTGGTTTGTGTTTTCTTTTACACCCTGGGGAGCAGCTCAGAGAAGGAGCTCTGGCTTCCCCCGCAGAAGCATGATGTCCTGCATAAGGGCTGAGGGGTGGGGAGGAGACATCCAATTCCCTCTTCGTGCTAGTCTTTAAATCTAGAAAAAGTAGGAATGCGGTGCAGTGAGGGGCAGATCGAGGCTTTCCTGGAGTGTAATCCCACGTCGTTCTCCCTGGCCAAGAGGATGATGCCAGCCACCAGCAGAAGGCAGCCTAGCGGAGTCTGCCTGACTTGATGCCTGGGGCCCGGCAACTGCCCCTGAATCCCTCCCTCCTGAGAGACTGCTGAGGTTCTTCTCCAAGCAGAGGAGAGAAAGAAATGGTGGAATTAAACTGTGTGTGTTGAGTCTCAGACTAAGATTTAATTTGCATTTGCTGTTTAGGAGTGAGAATGAGAAAAACTGCTGTGGTCTTTGCTATTCATAAAGTGTAATCTTAATGGAAAAACGTAGTAAAATAGAAAAGTGTGATGAAATTGATCTTGTGCTGTTACTGGTCTCCATATTATGCTTGTCCAATTACACGCCATCTTCCCCCTGAGAAGAAACAACTGAATTATAATTACAGAGTTTGGGCCGGGGCTGCTGACAATGAAGCGTGCCAGCTGCAGTTTCTGGTCACATGTCCTTGGTGGACAGTGGCAGTTGATTTCAGCATCGTCCCCCCGGGGTTGTCCTGTGGGCGGCCTCTCCCTCCCAGTCTCTCAGGCTGGCCCCCAAGAGGAAGCTACTCTTGGAGCGCCTGGGTGGCTCAGTCGGTTGAGTGTCTGCCTTCGGCTCAGGTCATGGTCCCGGGGCCCTGGGATGGAGCCCTACACCGGGCTCCCTGCTCGGCGGGAAGCCTGCTTCTCCCTCTCCAGCTCCCCCTGCTTGTGTTCCCTCTCTCACTATATCTCTCTCTGTCAAATAAATAAATAAAATCTTAAAAAAAAAAAAAAGATGAAGCCACTCCAGGAGGAAGAGATAAGCTTTGAGAGGACTGGCCCTACAAATACAAACCTGTAAAGTGGGAGCTGGCCATGCCTTGCAGAATGCCGTGAACTTGAATCTTTTCCTTCGTCAACCTTGCTTCTTTAACGCTCATTGCTTTTTACTCTTGGAGCCTTCCGCTCCAGTGTGGTTTTTCTTGAGAGGAAGTGAGCAGTAGGAGACACACAGTGGGGTCAGTATTGCTACCCAGGATTAGTGAGTAAGGAAGGCTGCCTTATTCCGTCCCCTCTCCACCCAGTATTCTTCTGCCAGCCCCTGGGTTAACGTCTGGGAAGATCTTGTCTTACTACACTCGGTCTCAACTGAAAGGTAGAGCCACAGCCCTGCCCGTGTAATTTGGATAATTTTTTCCCCCTAGGTGCTTTCCTCTGCAAGGTGAGCACAGTTACCTGGCTTACTCACAAGTCCCAGAAAGAACGCCCCCCCACCCCCCCCACCGGTTGTTTCTTCAGGGCATGTGTCCGGTGTGGAATGAAACCTGCAACTTTGTAGTACGCTCCTTGTGCCTGATCCCATCTACAGAAGATCCCCGGAGAGCTCTCAGCCACTGGAACCATTAGCTCCTCTATAAAAAGAGTCCATCCAGGCCTATTTTTGTTTCTGTCCTCAAGCCACTTGCTATCAAGACATTACCCCATCTCATAGGAGGAAGGCAAGCCGATACCCTTTACTCAGGACAAACCAGAAGCAATTTGAAACCAGGGAATAGTGAAAGAATCATTAAGTGATTTTGAATTGACCAGCAGGCTTGGTTGCTTTCATTTGGAAGCAGAACAGTGTCTTTGGTGCCCCGGAGACTTGATGGGAACGCTTTCCTTTTTTCTCGCACTGTGACCTTGGACAGGTTTGCAAGCTTGGCCAAGTTACCTGATCTCTCGGGGCCCGGGGGCTGCATCCGATCAGTTGGGGATCCTGAGGCCTCCCCGCTTTGCAGGGTTCTCCTAGCATTTAATGTAAAGGCATTTAATTGATTTATGTATGGTGTCTGAAGGTTCTAGCTATTGTCATTGACGTTATTTCGTACTTCGCAGTGAGGGTGCAGGAAGGCCCTTTGAGAGACATGCCTTTTGGCGAGCACACCACATAGAGCCTTATATTCACTTGCTTTGGTGGTTTTCTTGCCTCTCCCTCTTCAAGTAACAGAATAGAACATTCTCCTTTTGAACTGTGTTCCCTGCTTTTTGAAAGTAGTGTGATTGAATTAAATATTCATGCAGGTATGGCATGTCGTTTGAAGGGGGCATTATCATAGGCTTCCTCAGTAATTTTCTGGTGGCAGTTTGCCTCCGCATCTGTGACTTTTTCTGACGGACCTCATGTTCTTTTGATTTCCCTGCTGCGGTGGGAAATGCGTACGGAGCATCAAACAAATTAACATGACAGAAAATTACACCTTGTGAAGTGTACGGATTTCTTTTGAAACTTCTCCTTTGAGGCACAGAAAGATAAGTGGGCCTACTTTATAAGTGACAGAACTAGTCAACTTTCTGGTAATTCAAAAGACTTTTGTGGACCCTGCATTACTTGGTTCTTTTCCTTTAAATGATTCAGGAGCAGGAACCATACAATATATTCTGTATCTAATTAGTCTGGCCTCTTTTCTGTGAACATTTTTCCTTTTGGTTTTCTGGTGTCTCTAGCCCTGCGTAGAAGCCATGAACAGGAATGGCTTTGGGGGCGCCTGGGTGGCTCAGTCGGTTAAGTGTCTGTCTTCAGCTCAGGTCATGGTCTCAGGGTCCTGGGATCGAGTCCCGCATCAGGCTCCCTGCTCAGCAGGGAGTCTGCTTCTCCCTCCCCCTCTGCTGCTCCCCCTGCTTGTGCTCGCTCGCTCTCTCAAATAAATAAAATCTTTAGGAAAAAAAAGGAGGAACAGTTTTGCCTCACCTACTGTTTAGCTTGGTGTATCACCCTTACCCACTCTGAGACGCAGAATGCTTATCTATCTGCGGGCTTCAGAGCAATTAGAAGATCAAATGCGTTGATGTATCAGTAACTTAGTCTAGCTTTTAGCACAAACTCGTTTGGTTATTACCTGTATTTTCATAGGTGTTTTTGTACTATAGAAAGGAGATCCAGTCTCCCTTCTCCCTTCCCTCAGCTCCCCTTCCCTCATCTAACCGCCAGTGGGACATTCATCTATTTTTATCATAAAATAGCTTCTGTGTCCTACAGTCTCTAGAGATCCTGCAGGTTGACCTCAAACAACCATCCAATCAGCCAAAACATTTTCCTCCGACGTGTCAACATCTTTCTGAGATAGTATCTCCTTGTGGTCAGTGACTACTTGCTTCTCTCTTCCCAAAGCATTTTATTTTGGTCCAGATACAGGGATTCGTGGACTTCCAGGCAGATGCTTGGATAACAGGACCTTGCCCAACAGGCAAAACTAATGTGTGGTATTTGAAAGTCAGGGTGATGGTGACCTTTGGGGAGAGTGGTGGCTGCACGTGTGTGTTCACTTTAGGTAAATTAAGCGAGCCACTCAAGATTTTTGTGTTTTTCTGTATGCAGGTAATACGTTAATACAAATGTTAATTAATTTTTTAAAAAGTTAACTTTTGGGGCACCTGGGGGGTCAGTGAGTTAAGCATCTGCCTTCGGCTCAGGTCATGATCTCAGGGTCCTGGGATCGAGTCCCGCATGGGGCTCCCTGCTCAGCGGGGAGTCTGCTTCTATCTCCCTCCCTCTGCCACTCCGCCTGCTCGTGTGCGTGCGCATACTCTCTCTCTCTCTCTCTCTCAAATAAATATATAATCTTAAAAAAATAAAAGGGTAACTTTTCCCTCTTTTTGCAGATACCATAATTCACGCATGTATTGGAAGGGTGATAGCTCATTCTTAGTTGAGAAAGTCTTAAATGAAATTAAGTGAGGAAGCAAGTCTAAGCCTGTAAGGGGATGTGGGTCAAAGACAACTTACAAGCTCTTTGATCATACACATTTGTATATAGATGGTCTGTAGATGTTCTACTTGCTAGTGATTGTGTTCGGTAAAAAAGGAAAATTTAAACAGGTTGCTACCCTTTTACCCTGTAGTTGTAATTCTTATAGTTTGAAAAATGATTCTTTCTTGCTTCTTTATCTTTCTCTGTATCATCAATTAGCAAATTATTTGCCTGACTGGAGAAGAGATCACTTATAAAAGTGTATGATTTTAAAACTCACGCTATACCATTAGGTGCGCTTGCTGTATACAATTTTTTATTAGCCATGGATTTACATGCTTGCTTCTGTATGGCTTTCCCTAATAAGGTTGACTCTGTGTACTGTGACAGCCAGAAATTAGCTGGGAAGTGGGAAAGAACAGTTTTTGCTGTGGATAGAGAACAAGAGGTAAACAATAGTTACCCTGGATTATAGGTTTTTCTTATAAACAGCTCATTGTCTTAGAAGCAGCTCATTACATTTTAATTTACTTATTTTCTTCTAGGTTGGAAGGAAGATTGATGCAGACAAAAGCAACATGATTCAGGTAAATGGGTTTTTATTTTCTTTATGTACCTTTTATGCTTGGTTTATATTTCCCATGTTTTCCCACTGAGAAGAACTAAAATAAAAACCTCGATTTTTGTGGCCAACTTGAATATATAAAGAATGTTTTGGGTATATAGCGGTAATCGTCGAACGCCTACTTAGACCTTTTAATTAATTTAGTCACATATTGTATATTTAATAGTCGTGTATTTCTGTCAAACAATATTATGACTCATGCTGTTTCCTACCTCAGAGTAACTTTCTTCCCAGTCCTTACATATGTATCTGATGCCAGCGACTCTATTATTGGTCACATTTTTGAAGCCCCCAGTAGCATTTTCCAGAGCACGTTAACCATTTTAGTTGTTTGCAACGCAGTGCGCTTGGAATCCGTGCGTGGTGCTGTAACTGGAAGTTTTACTCCCAGCTGTAAGTGACCATGTACCCAGTGTTAGGACAGCTGTTATTCTGGAGATCTCTACTGGGTGACGGTTTGTAGGTTGGCTTTGTTAACTATTCTGTCCTGCTTGCTTGCTTCCATCCATTCATGTATTTTATTTATTTTGAGATAATTACATGCACAGTGTTTGCAGTTAAAATAATTCTATAACAGGGATGCTTAGGTGGTTCCGTTGGTTAAATTTCCGACTCTTGATTTTGGCTCAGCTCATGATCTCGGAGTTGGGAGATCGAGCCCCACGTTGGGCTCCTCGCGCAGCGCGGAGTCTGCTTGGGATTCTCTCTCTCCCTCTCCCTCTGCTTCTCCCCCACTCATGCTCTCTGTCTCACAAATAAATAAAGAAAACACAATACTATAACAGCCATTCCCCGTTGTTCATATGCTGCCAATACTCCTTTGCCTAGAGGAGCCCTTTCCAACTCTTTCCCTTATATTCTCTCACATTTGCCTACCTGTTTCTAAACAACACACCATATGCTGTAAGTACCTATTTACTGATCTCTTTTAAAATTTTAGGCTTTTATTGATTTCCTGCTAAGGATTTAGCCCTCACACGTCACCCCTTACCCTCAGCGTGCACCGTCTCCTCCTCTCTCCATTTTGTGCTTATAGTTGTGTTATGGTGTGTGGACACGTTAATACTTAATGTTTGCTTTATTATGACTGTATTTTGTTTGTAGCTGAGCTTTGTGACACTTATGTGTAAATGTCTCAGGCCGTTCTGCTTCCCAGCTGGTTGTGTAGGATCTGCTTTGTTTCTCGGGAAAATGTTTGACTCTTCTTTATTCTCAGAATGCTGAAATTTCCAGCTGGGACATAGGTCTTAGGATCTTTTGATGTCAGTGGACCTTTCAGTTCTGAAACTCATGCCCTTCAATTTGGGAAGTTTTCATGTACTACTACTTGGATGATTTCCTTTCCACTCTTTTTTCTCTTTCCTGCGAGCTTGTTAGTTGACTCTTTGGACCCACTGGTTTGATTCTCTTCATCTCTTAGGTTTTTCTCTGAACTGTTTTCCATCTCTGTGTGTTTTTGTTATACTTTCTGAGAGATTTTTTTATTATTGTCGAACTTTTAATTTCTGCCAGTGTGTTTTAATTTTTACTGGTTTCTGAATGTTTCATTTTTAAAAAGAGGATCCTGTTCTTGTTTCATTGGAATAGGGATGGTTTGTCTGGCTCTACCAGCTGGGGAAAAGATCTGGGATTCTAATAGCCACCCCCCCCCTTTTTTTTTTTTTTTGCTCAAAACAACACAGTAGTTTTTTGACCTTAGAGTTCTTTAGGTCAGAAGTCCCCTGATGGTTCCCACTGGGCCACAGTCAAGGTGTCTGGTTGCGTTCCTTTCTGGTGGCTCTAGAGGAAAATCCGTTCCCTGCCTTGTTCTAGCTTCTAGAGGCTGCTGATTTCCTTGGCTGTTGGCCCCTTTCCAGGCAGGGGCTGCTTTAAATGAGCAGGTCAAATACATCTCATACTGCATTTCTCTGACCTCTTCTGCCTCCCTCTTTGACTTTTTAGGAACCTTGTGATCACATTGGACCCACCTAGATAATCCAATATAATCTCCCACCTTTTTTTCTATTGTGGTAAAAAAACCAAAATATATAAAATTTGCCATTTTAGCCATTTTTAAGTATCTAGTACAGTAGCGTGAACTATATTGATATTGTCGTACAGCAGACCTCTAGAACCTTTCATCTTGCAAAACTGAAACCCTGGACCCATCGATCGAGCTCTCCCTTCCTCCCTGCCTCAGCCTCTGGCACCCACCTTCTTCCCCCGGTTTCTCAGAGTCTGACCACGTCACATACCTCATGGAAGTGGAATCTTACGGTATTTGTCTTTGGGTGACAGGCTTCGCTTACTCAGCATAATGTCCTCAAAGTTCATCCGTGTTGTAGCCCATGACAGGATTTCCTCGTTTTTTAAGACTAAGTATTAATATTCCATTTTATGTCTGTACCACTTTTTCTTTATCCATTCACCCATTGATGGACATTCAGATTGCTTCCACCTCTTGGCTATTGTGAATAGTACTGCCGTGAACCTGGGTGTGCAAATGCCTTTTTTTAGTTTGTTTTTATTTAAAAAATTTTTCCATATTTTATTCAACTATAATTAATATACGGTGTTCTGTTAGTTTCATGTGTACAATATGGTGCTTCAACAGTTCTGTACATCACCCCGTGCTCGTCACATGTGTACTCCTTCATTCCCATCACCCGTTTCCCCCATTCTTCCACCTACCTCCCCTCTGGTGATCATCAGTGTGTTCTCTGTAGTTAAGATTTTGTTTATCTCTCTTTTTCTTTGTTTCTCACTTGTTTTGTGTCTTAAATTCCACATATGAATGGAATCATGTAGTATTTGTCTTTCTCTGACTTACTCACTTCGCATTATATACTCTAGTTCCATCCATGTCATTGCACATGGCAAGATCTCATTCTTTTTTATGGCTGAGTAATATTCCGTTGTGTATATACACCACATCTTCTGTATCCATCATCAGTCGGTGGGCACTTGGGCTGCTTCCATGATTTGGCTGTTGTAGATAGTGCTGCAATAAACAGAGGGGTGCATGTCTCTTTTTGAGTTAGTGTTCTTGTATTCTTTGGGTAAATATCCCATAGTGTGATTATGGGATAGTAGGGTAGCTCTGTTTTCAGCTTTTTGAGGAAGCTCCGTACTGTTGTCCACAGTGGCTGCACCAGTGTGCATTCCCCCCAACAGTGCATGAGGGTTCCTTTTTCTCCACGTTCTCACCAGCACCTTGTTGTTTCCTTCCTTCCCTCCTTTGTTGCTACTCTGACAGGTGTGAGGTGCTACCTCAGGTGGTGTTGATTATCTCCCTGTTGACCATCTCTGTATCTTCTTTGGAGAAATGTCTCTTCAAGTCCTTTGCCCATTTTTTAAATTGTGTTATTTGTTCCTTGGGTTGAGTTGTAGGAATACTTTATGTATTCTGTGTATTAACCCCATTATGTAATTTGTAAATATTTTCTCCCACTTCATAGGCTGCCTTGTGACTGACTGTTTCCATTTGTCTGTTTTTGCTTTCGTTGCCTGCACTTCTGGTGTCAAATGCAAGAAATCATTGCCAAACCCAGTGTCATGAAGCTGTCCTCCTGTGTTTTCTTCCAGCACTTTTTGGGGTCAGCTCTTACGTGGAGGTTTTGAATCCATTTTGACTTAATTTTTGTGCCTGGTGTCAGGGAAGGGTCTGACTGCTCTTTATGCAGACTTTTAGCCAGTCCCCCTCCTCCCAACTCCTTCCCCCTCTCCTTCGGAGGAACCACAGCCCCATTTCCTGAGTCTTTCAGGGGCAGGCAGCTGGGGGTTTTTTTGCCTCTCTGGGCAGTGAGGTTCCGGCTGGCTCTGGCGGGCTCAGCGGTCATCTCTGCTTTCAGCTTCCAGAATGTCACTGATGTCTGTTGTCTGCTCTCATCTACTTTTCTCTTCTCTTTGTCCTTAGGAGTTTTTGTCTTTTTCTCTCTCTTTACCACAATTTTAATTGTAGGGGGATTTCGAGAGAAGCAGAGATAAACAGCCCCATTCCATTGGATCATCGATTGCTCCAAAATCCAGATTGCTCTTTTAAATGATATTTAATATCATGATAAAAGAACAATCTGGATTTTGGGCTTTTAAAAAATGGTATCTCATAAACGCTATTGTCAGGATGTACCAGAAATAATTGTTCAGTCTATTCCTTTGCTTCCTTTTCTGTTAAAACATCTAAGGCTAGCGTTGATTGAAGGTACTTCCCTGAACATTAGTTTATAATTCAAAATAAACCGATTTTTGTTTGTAATATGAGGTCTTCGACGTAAGACGATACTTGTTTCCTGAGGTACACTTCTCTCGTGGGCGGAAAATCCTTGATTTATTTTCAGGTCTCTACACTGTATATTGGTATCATCAGGACATGATGTTCTTTTATGTAAATATATTTTACTCTGGAGCTTTAATTCAACACTCTTGAGCCAGTGTAATGGCAAGCCTAATTTTTGTTAGTTTATGACCAACAGCAGGTTATCGTTCCTGAGGGTCATGGTTTCCCCTCAGAGAAGTGACCACCTTTTCATTGACTTGTAAAGAGGGTAACACTAGTTACCCCTTGTTTTCATACTGGAGTTGATGCCAATAATTTGTGAAAATCAGTTATTTGTTGACAAAGAATGTAGATAAATTTATAAAAGAGAAATGGCTCTGTGACAGAGAGTTACAGACTTGAGTTTTCAATTAAGAAAAGATGGGGTTTCGTGTTATGTATATTTTTGGCAAAAATAGAAAAGTTTTCAAAAACAGAAAGAAAGGAAAGAGGGGGATGGGAGCCCGTTGTGAATGTTTTGTTTTCCAATCTAACATGTCCATGTGTTCGCTTCCAGTGACGTGGCCTGGGTTGATAAGGTGTCTCTCAGCTTTAGGGTTTTATGGTCCATTTCCACGGTGGCCAAGCTTAAGTTGCTCCTCTGTTCCAGGGACATCACTGAGATCTTTGGGGACTGCACAGAAGCGTCTGGTTGGGAACGTCATGAAGGAAGGGGCAAGACCCTGCCCAAGGAAGCGTACGTGAGAATAACGGAGAAGGAGCCCGTCGATATACGCAGTACAGCCGCTGTTGGAGTAGGTAATGTCCAGAGCTTGAGCCGACCCTGCCCTGGCCCGTTCTGCTGCCCCCCGTCAGCCGGATCCACTCTCTGGAATGGGCACTGTGCTTAGGGCCGACCGTTACCCACCTTCTGACCTCAGAAGCCACTTGACCCAGCTGGGGGCTGTTGCCCTTAACTCCTAGGGCAGCTCTGACACAGCCTCTCCGGAGCTCTTCCTGTTGCCTGCAGGACAAGAGAGACCATAAAAGCAGCTTGCAACTCCAGGCGGATGGCAGTGATAACAAATTTGTAGCCAGAGACCGCCCTGCCTTTGATTCTGGGAATGGGGCGCCGGTATCAAAGCTCAGCGAGGGCGTGGCCTTTGAGTCCCCTGTTCTTTCCTGGCTTTAGTCATACCCTGACCCATGCCCTGTGAGTCTTGAACTTTGACCCCTCCCCCTTCCCCCGCCACCCTCCCCCCAGTTACAGTGTGAAGTGCTTGCTTCCTTGCCTTGCTGTGATAGCCTTTAATTCTTATCTTCTCTGTAATGCTTATTGTCAAGGTCAGGGTCGCCCATTATTTCCTATTCTGTGACCCTCAGTGGTTGTCTTTTGATACGCTGGCTCTTTTAGTATGGAATTGGCCATGTCATGTATGTGTCACCTTGATCCTTTAGGGTTTTTTTTTTTTGTTTTCCTTTTATTTATTTATTTTAAAGATTTTGTTTATTTATTTGAGAGTTATTGAGAGAGAGAGAGAGAGAGAGAGAGAGAGAGCGAGAGAGCACGAGGAGGAGCAGAGGGAGAGGGAGGAGCAAGCTCCCTGCTGAGCAGGGAGCTCGATGTGGGGCTCGATCCCAGGACCCTGGGATCATGACCTGAGCCGAAGGCGGACACTTCACCGCCTCAGCCACCCAGGCGCCCCTTTTGTTTTCTGTTTAATCTACCAGTGTAGAACACTAAGATGTACCCTGGGCCAAGTATTTTATGTCTTTGATCATCACATCATCATGGGAACATTAAACAAGTCCCCTTTCCTAGATGAGGATACTGAGGTTCCAAGTGGTTGCATGGCTTGCTGCTGTTGCCCACAGTGCGCCTGGCGGACCCGGCATTCGGCAGTAGGTCTGTCTGTCTCTCATCCTGCGCTGTGCGGGTTGTGTCCCATGCTGTCAGGTTTTGAAAAATACCCCCATGCCTGTGGAATTGTAACTCTCCCACTCTACTTTTTCCACTAGTGTCTGCTGCTTGTTCCCATTTCATGGATTCTTGTTTGGTTTATGATCACACTTAAACATTTAACGAGCATATTAAAACAATATTTTCAACAGTTATGGTTTCATAATTTTACTGCGAACACATTGTTGGTCTGAGACACGATAAAAAGTGTCCCTTTTCTAGTGCAGGCTCTTCTGTGTTGGGGGATGAGTTGTGAGTCGATGCCGAGGCCAGTGTAGGTGGAAGAGTGGCTTGCATGTTTCTGACCCAGCCCCATCACCCAGACCCTTGCAGGACAGGGTCAGTGAAGATGACATAGCAGAGACACGCCGCTTTGCCAGAAATCTTCATGTAGTTCACAGAGCTGTTTGGGAGCCTGGATCCTTTGAAGTGTAGACCATGTATTCAAGTGCGTGTCCTGTCGGTGTGCACAGCCAGGAAGCTGCCCTGAAGGATGTGAGCTTGAAGTTTGAGTCAGTTTGAGAATAAATGGAATCCACTTTATTTTTCAGTAGTGGGCTACGTGGTTTGAAAAATCTGTCTATTAGGCTTCTAAAATACTTTTATTTAATTAGCAAACGCTCCATGTATACCCATATGTATTTGAAATCTTCGCCCAAATCTTGGGCGGGAGGTGTGGTCTACCTTCTTTGAAGCATGAATCAGCTGCAGCTGGGACGTCAGGAAGCCTGCCCGGCCTCGGGCAGTCAGAGACCGGTAGAGCCAGCACGTGAACCCGGATTGGTTGGATTTCCCGGACTGTGCTTTTGACAATGACTCTGCCTCCCTGATTACACAGCGCAGGGACATTTATGTGGCAGACATGTCCAGGAGGCTTTTTATGCTTTGCATTAAAACAAAGGCAGCCTTACGACAGGTGGTTAAATAAGCCTTGTCCTCACAGAGGTGGAGGCTTCTAGATGCGCCTGGTGCTTGCACTGGTGAGGCTGTGCCACGTGGTTTACGGTGGACCGAGCCACCTCTGGGCGTCTGGGAGGAGTGGCTGCTCCGGCCACTCACCGTCCTCTCCCATGAGCTTCCCACGCTGCCCGTAGCAACGAGGCTTGACTCACCTGAGCGGTGGCACGAGCTTCTTTTTTTTTTTTTTTTTAAGTATTTGTTTTTTTTTTTTTTTTTTAAGATTTTATTAATTTGACAGAGAGAGACACAGCGAGAGAGGGAACGCAAGCAGAGGGAGTGGGAGAGGGAGAAGCAGGCTTCCTGCGGAGCGGGGAGCCCGATGTGGGGCTCGATCCCAGGACCCTGGGATCATGACCTGAGCCGAAGGCAGACGCTTAACGACTTCTGTTCTTTCCGAAGCAATGGTGCCTGGAGTGTGGCCACACAATCACACAGGTCAGGGCAGCTCCGGCGTTTATACGGGGATCTCAAAATTTACAAAATCTGCAGATCTCAAAACATCAGGTATATAATATCAGTATCACTCTGAGTAAAATTTTTTTTTTTTTTAAAGATTTATGTATTTTGAGAGAGAGTGAGAGAACGAGCTGGGGGGGAGGGGCAGAGGGAGAAGCGGACTCCCCGCCGAGCAGGGAGCCCGATGCGGGGCTTGATCCCAGGACCTTGGGATTATGACCTGAGCCGAAGGCAGATGCTTAACCAACTGAGCCACCCAGGCGCCCCTGTTTCTTTTTGTTTTGAAATGTGTCTTTCCCCTGATATTACACAGAAAGTTTGGTAAACATTGACGGGTTCAAACAGCAAAATACACACCACCACACGGAGGTAGCCACTGATAAGGTTTTGGTGTGGCTACTTCCAGGTTTTATTCTTGTGAATGAGTATACCTCTTAAAAAGTACAAAATTAGAATGACAGTGTTCTAAATCCATTTTTACTTACTATAACTTCAGTGTTTTCCCCATGTTTTAAAATTTTTTTTACAACATGCTAAGAAGTGGCTATAAAATGTTCTCCGTGGGTAATAGCAAAAGTTACTCCATCCTGATCTTTGATAGCTAGTACCTCTCCAAAGTAGGCCACCGTGGTAGGGCAGAAGTGTTGAAATAAGCACAATTGCCAGTAATTTTCATCCATCCTGTAAAATGACTAATGACGGTGAAGACGTGGTGATGAGAAAACCCGGGTGACGTCAGCCACGTTATGCAGTGGGTGTGACGTGTAAATTCCCAAATGCCGTGCTTGAAGGAAGCCCGGGACATTCCTTTTGACCTGGGTGCTTTGAAACCGGCTTTTCCTTTCCGTGTGGTGGCCCACCTTTTTGTGCTTTTGTTTTTGTTTTTGTTTTTGTTTTTTTGAGAGAGAGAGAAGGAGAGCATGAGCCGGGGAGGAGCCGAGGGAGAGGGGCAAGCGGGCTGCACACCCAGCGTGGCGCCCAGTGTGGTGCTCGATTTCACGACCCCGAGATCAAGACCTGAGCTGAGATCAGCAGTCGGACGCTTAACCGACTGTGCCACCCAGGTGCCCCAGAGGTGACCCACCTTTGACAAGTGACTAGTTTCTCCATACTTGAGTGAAACTTTTCACATTCTGATTTGCAGGTTTTCACCCTCCTGGTTGCTTAATATATTTGATGCTTCATGTACTAGTTAAGTGAGCATTTCCCCTCCCGTTTTCTTTGGCTCTTTCACGTGGGTTAAACCCTAGGTCAGACTGCTGTAGCGACCCCAGCCGCAGGCTGCCTGAAAGATGCTGCTTTTGCGGTTTCCCGGGGTGACATTCCCAGTGCAGCCCTAGTGCGGCTTGTGAACCCGAGAGTTCTGTGCTCCTTGGGGTTGGAGTTCCCCAGCTGAGGTGCTTACAGCTGAGATGGGTGAACACTTAGCAGAAGTGCTCCACCCGGAGCAGGCTGACGTGAGGCGGGGACTGTAATGCATTGTTCCTTATTATTCTTCTCTCCCAGACTTCGTGATTAAGTTAAATTAATCACCATCACCACCATCTCATCATCATCACCAGCATCACCATCGCCACCAGGCCACTGCTTTCCAGACCTGCTTCCTTATTGCCCCTGGGACTCCAGCGTGCCTGGGAGCTGGGTCGGGGCTGAGGGTGGAGGACAAGGCCCTTGACTTCTGTATTGTCCCATCAACCCACAGCCCCGCTTTTATATGTTGTATGTACTGAACTTCCACAAAGTTTTGTTTAAAGAAAGGACTCTTGCTTCGGGAAGGAAAGACTGATTGATAGTCACCATGGCATAGAGAGCCTCGGGGAGGCCGACAGAGAGAAGGAAGATGCACATGCCCACAGTATTACTTCAGGTTTCCCTTCTGCCTGTGTTTCTCCTGCAGGCACATCTTGCTTCTTGGGTTTGGTACTTAACATAATCCCTCCAGTTGGAATTCCCCTAGACCGACCTGCTTTGAAGTTCATGGTTTCCATAAATGTGCCTCAGAAGTTCTAAGGTTAGGAGAGACGGACGGCTAGCCTTCCAAACATTGGTGGTGGGAGGGGACTTGAGTGATGGGGTCAGCAAAGGGTGGTCGTTATAACTGGTTAAGGGCCCTGAGAGACTGGTTTCTATGTTAGGGTTGATGTGGACAGTGGGGAGATGTTCTTGTCGTCACGAGTGATGTGGTGTGTGAGACTGATTGAGCCTCAAAGTTTGTGAACTCTTCGTTACCTGTTTCTGTTTCCTTCTGTGCCTTTGCTCACACTGCCCTGTGGAAGACTCATTCCCTTCCCTTTGTGCCTGCTTAACTCCCAAGTCCGGTTTAAGTAACTCAGCTCTCTCTCTCTTTGGCTGCTTTAAAGATTCTGCTTTGTCTTTGGTAGTCGTGGTTTTTTACATCCAAGTGGGGAGCGCGCTTTCCTCGCTTTCCCCTTTTCCCGATTAT